CTTCAACAATACTCCGTTCAATTACACACTCTCTGACTGCAGTTCAATTACTCATTGCCTCCCCGTCGCTTCGTGGCCGTTCTTATATATACAAGACTACACTATATCTAGTAATCTCCCGACAATTCACGAAGGTTCGAGAAGGACGTGGCGTGCTACTAATCACGTGACCTCGCTGATGCAACATTTGGAAAACAAAGAAATATGGATCAACTTGGGGAATATGTACCATCCTTAAAGAGACCTACAATAAGTTGTATTCACCAACGGTACACAACATATTCAAGAATGTTCTCCGTCTTTAAAAAGTGTCACAACTTCCTTCCACGACGTGGAAGTTAAACTATAAGCAGCTGAAGAATAAAACGAGTTTTCATATGCTATTCCATATGAGAACATACTGATCTAGTCGCTGGATGTTGTACCTATGGATTTATGTGATCAGACAGTTGAAATGGGTGCTGGATAGCTGTCGTCTTTATTCTATGTATGGAGTTAATATATGACAGGCTATAACAATGATTTCGAAATGTATAGTGTTAATATACTGTATTGTTTTCATTTTTCTTATTGGGTTGATATGCGATATAAATATCAAGATTATCATTATATGTGTAGGGTTAACATACTGCTATGCTAATAACGTATAGAATATATATATACAACAAGACTGCATCTGGTTATTGTAGGAATTGGTTTATCGTATAACAATTACCAACGTAATTAGTATACCTAAAGAGACAATATATAACATGACTATCAACATGATTATGTTAATTATGGCATTAGTAGATAACGATCATGTCAACGTCATTAGCATACCCATAAGCTATGAATGTATGTAGTTTATACCTAAGTACATGCCCCCCAGTGGCACAGCGGCATGTCTGCGGATTTATAACGCTAGAAACCGGGATTCGATACCCGTGGTGTGTAGCTTTGTGCTTAACTTCAAACAAACAAACAAATGAAACCTAAGTTTAATGTATAATAAGGATGTCATCGTGATTAATACACGTATGAGGTTAATATTGAACACGATTTAAAACGTAATCATATATTTGTACTAAGGCTATAAATGTTATTATATACATACTAAATAAATGCCCAAAAGGCTATTAACGTGACTTTGTACTCATTAGGCAATTTAAAAGAAGGTTACTAACATGCCTTTAATACGTATAGTGTTAGTATAAAATAAACCTATGAATGTGATTAATATTATGTTAATATATGAAACGAGTATCAACATGATTATAATTATTAACGGCATAACTATACTGATGTCGCTAGTATTCAACCAGACTAACAACGTAACTTCTTTTCGTTTGGGATAACATACAACAAGATTACTAACATGACTCTTGTACTGGTTCGGTAACATAAAATAAGGTTTTCAACATGATTCTTGTACATTTGGGGAAACATGAAATATGATTTTAAACATGATTCTTATACATGTGGGGTAACATAAAATAAGGTTTTAAACATGATTCTTGAACATTTGGAGAAACATAATATATGGTTTTGAACGTGATTAGTTCTAATTTTAGAACACTTATAAGGTCACATCTCTAATAGAACCTCATAAAGTCAGAAGGATAATATCCTGTAAAAAAACATGCAATGTGTTTAAATACTCTGAAACCGAAAACGTAATGATCAAGTTCAACTAAACTATAACACTAAAGCTCCATAATTTTACGAGGTTGCACTAATGGATCGTATAACATTAAATCTTAATGTTCGATAATGATACTGTGAAAGTACAGAAGTTTGTTACGTAACACAGGAACTCCGAAAGTAGTTTGAAATAATATGCTATCTTTTATGTACACGAATAAGATAATGTTCTTTTAGAAACTTAATGTTTTTCAAATGAATAGAATAAAAGATAAGCGTGATTTTAATTATTCCCCAAATATAGTAAAACTATTTATCATCTAATAAAGTTTTTAAAATAAAATCGAAGGCGAGACAACAGAATGTAACATCTACAGTTTTTGATATCTTTATTGCTAACTGCAAAAACATTCAGTTCAAAATAAAATGATGGAATCAAGTGTAATTTTTTTTATTAAAATTATCTTGAAATTTTAAAACCAATTTATGATATAATCACGAACTTCTCCTAGGGTTTTTTTTTACAAATATATCTCTCAAAAACACGATTTTAGGTAGTTGTATCCTACGGCTTATTAAATATTGAAATTTTATAGTGAAACACGCTATAAACATTGTTAATTAGATAATTAAAGTGAACGTGGAAAACTTAAGACTGTATCTCCTTGATTTAATTAAATATGTTCAAATATTTTGCACTAAAATATTCCAGCATTGCTTTATTCACGGGGGTTGAAATTTCACATTTCTCAAAGTAATGGAATAAGTTTCACACTATAAAATTCAAATTTTGCTTTATTTACAGGTGTTGAGAGCTCAGATCTGTTAACATTAAGGAATTACGTTTTAAAAGTTTCAAATTGAAAGGCTGAAAGTATAATATATTTCTGGGTTTTGAAAGTTGACTAGTATCGCCTTAGATATTTAGCTAATTTATAATATATATATACATACCTTAGTAGCGTAAATTATCACTGTCTTAAGTTATATACAATGTTTAAGCCTACCACTGTTTATAATCTTGATTTCATTCATGTGATTCCTAACTGACACTTTCTACTGCTTTAGACTGCTTGCAGCAACGGAAGTGGAGTAAATGCACACAGAATTTTCACACATCAAGACTGCACTTATTCAAAACATATGTCAAGAAAAATTCAGTACACCATTAAACGAAGAATTTTGTTAACATGCTTATCAAGGAAAAAAAAACAACAACAGAAAATTACCTCTTAAGAACAATTAAAATAATATGAATAATATCAATAATATAGATTCTGGGCGTATCCCACAAACTTTAAAACTTAAAAACAAGTAAAATGAGAGAGTTAAGAAATCTCTCTTTATATATAATAGCCAAATGTCTGTCTGTCATGCTCTATATCTTTTTAACGGTTAATCGTACAAAAGAACAATTATATTTCAAAATACTTATTTTCAAGAGTAATTTACAGGAAAAGTATTTATTTTTTACCATTCCTAAAATTTCATATCGATATCAACATCGATCCGTCAGTATTTTTTATCTGCTGAACAGTCAGAACAGAAACACTTATTAAGAACAGAGATGTTTTTTTTGTGAGTGAATTTCACGATCAAAACAGGATTTCTTCCGTCAACTGATTGAAATAAACATTTTGAAGATAAGAACATGAACGGAAAAAAAAAGAGAGGAGCGTGTTTATGTGTATATATATATATATATATATTTGTTGTTGCTCATGTTGGTATTATGTACATGCACGACTTTATTGCAACATGTCGAATAACTTAAGTTGAAAAAATATTTTCTCTTTGACGCTTCCTATAGAAATAACAACAGTCAATATTACTTCGGTAGCGTTCTTTTCTTGCCAACGTCCTTTCTTACAAGGAACGGGGGCATCCAGCGGTAAAAATTCACGTGGCTACTTAGAAAACCTATTTTGCTTGCTGGATCACCCATTTCATCGGAACCCAAATATTTTTATCAACAATGCATTGCATTCAGTCTCCTTCGCTTTAAAACAAACGCAATACAATTGTCCTTATTCAAACAACACGAGGAATGACAAAATACGGTTGTAAATGGCCAATTAGACAATGTATTGCAAATACGCTCTGATCCAAGGTATTGGGGGTGACTGTACATTTTATATTTATTCATCACTATTTTTAGGAAACGTACGATTGAATTCTTTCAACGGACATCTGCTGGTGTATGATAAAAACGACGGTTAATCACCGTTCAGGATATTTTATATTGTAGATTTTTTCTATTCCATTTTAGCTGTTTTTTTTTATTTTGAATAATCGAAGCGGATGTTTCAGTTTCTCCGAGCAATTGACCATTAATGTAAGGTAATGGTTTAGCACAGTGTAAGACTAATAACTGATCTTGGGAAACGAAGAAAGATGAATACAGTGTGTATGTTTTCTGTTTCTGTAGTCATAAACGTAACCCATACGTAAGAAATGTTGCGGTAGACAACATCAGACACGATATTGAATCAGGGGTATATCGTCATTAGCTACCTACGTAAATACGTTTTTATTTTTGTATAGTTAGATGAGCCGAACATAACTGATGCTTTTGAATGTTGATACAAAGTTTTATTTATCAGTTTATGGTTTATATTAGTTTTTTTAATGTACAATTCAAATCACTAAATTGACAAGAATTTTACTGTAGTCATAACACAATAATTTTTTGTTACTTTTTAAATTTAAAACTAGGTGGCGTGGGTACACAAGGACGAAGAAAAACTTCTGACATTACAAAACCAGATTATTACGCGCGACCCCAGATTTAGTGTTCGAAGAAATGAGAACCTAAACTGGTGTTTACTCATACAAAATGTTCAGCCTGACGATTCCGGTTTGTACGTGTGCATTGTTAGTCTTTCACCAAGTCGACTTCAGCAAAAAATGATCTACTTAGAAATAGAAGGTAAGAGAATTTCACACATTTATTAATTATTTCGTTATAATGCGTTTGCCCGACACAAGTAGTTAATGCATAATCTGTATAATGCTGCACTGAAGTTTCAATTGGCCATACGATAACTGGCCACATTAATTATATATCTCTATCTAATATTAGTCTTTAATATCTTTTATCGCAACAATAGCCTTGACTTAGTGTGACATACAATAACTGACCACATTAATTATATCTCTATCTAATATTACTCTTTAATATCTTTTATCGCCACAATAGCCTTGACTTAGTGTGACATACAATAACTGACCACATTAACTATATCTCTATCTAATATTAGTCTTTAATATCTTTTATCGCTACAATAGCCTTGACTTAGTGTGACACACGATAACTGACCACATTAACTATATCTCTATCTAATATTAGTCTTTAATATCTTTTATCGCTACAATAGCCTTGACTTAGTGTGACACACGATAACTGACCACATTAACTATATCTCTATCTAATATTAGTCTTTAATATCTTTTATCGCTACAATAGCCTTGACTTAGTGTGACATACATAGACTTTATTAGATGTCTTGTTCGGCTGAAGACCATTTGACAAGGAAACGTTTGTGGCGAATGTGACAGATGACTGAAGACTGCCCTGTGAATCAACTTCACATTGCTGCATTATCGTTTTGAAAAAATATCTGTTCGTCAAAGTGGAAATAGAGCACTGTGTGAAGAAATGACAAACAACAGTACTTGGATACGCTCTGTTGTTAGTCCTTTTAAAGGAATCAGAGGACCTAACTCCTGCAATGAAAACATTCCCCAAACCATTATAACACCTCCAGTATCTTGCGTTTTCGGAACAATATAAATAGTCTCAAGTTTTTCCTCCATAATTCTATTGTACCTTAGATACTAAAAGTGAAACAATAAAAGAGACTCATCAGGCTACACCACAAGCTTTCACTCATTCATTGCCTTCAATTCACTAATTAAACTGAACTGAAACCATGCTATCCAACTGTTTTTTTTTCATCATTTTGTATCGATAGTGGAAGATGCATCCCATTCATAGACTCTAATAACAGATATCTTTGAATAGGAGATGATGTTTCATAACGTGGCGACTTATAGACAGACACTCATTATCACGCCCCATTGAAAGTCTAAGAGATACTAATTATCACCCATTTTTACACACTAATCATGATATTGTTAGCGTGTTGTTATAAGAATGATAGTCTGATACCTGCCATAACCCACTGATTATTACACATATAAGTAAACTGAGTGTTCTACAAATGGATATTTGGGAGTGGGGTCCCAATAAACTGACCAATTAACGTGTATTTGTGGGTAGGGTCCTAATAAACTGGCCAATTAGTATTTATTTGGGAGTCGTAATAAATTGGGGCAATTAATGCAGATATTGATATAAAATCACGTTTTTATGTACAATATTCACATAACTTTTTATTTACGTTTTAATGATTCACTTTATTTACACAAAAAATGTTTCATATCAGATACTTATCACATGTTTCATATCAGATACTTATGATATGTTTCATATCAGATACTTATCACATGTTTCATATCAGATACTTATGACATGTATCATATCAGATACTTATCATACGTTTCATATCAGATACTTATGATATGTTTCATATCAGATACTTATCACATGTTTCATATCAGATACTTATGATATGTTTCATATCAGATACTTATCACATGTTTCATATCAGATACTTGTGATATGTATCATATCAGATACTTATCATACGTTTCATATCAGATACTTATGATATGTTTCATATCAGATACTTATCATATGTTTCATATCAGATACTTATCATATGTTCCATATCAGATACTTATGATATGTTTCATATCAGATACTTATCACTTGTTTCATATCAGATACTTATCATATGTTTCATATCAGATACTTATCACTTGTTTCATATCAGATACTTATCATATGTTTCATATCAGATACTTATCACTTGTTTCATATCAGATACTTATCATATGTTTCATATCAGATACTTATCATATGTTTCATATCAGATACTTATCACTTGTTTCATATCAGATACTTATCATATTTTTCATATCAGATACTTATCATATGTTTCGTATCAGATACTTATGATATGTATCATATCAGATACTTATGATATGTATCATATCAGATACTTATGATATGTTTCATATCAGATACTTATGATATGTTTCATATCAGATACTTATGATATGTTTCATATCAGATACTTATCATATTTTTCATATCAGATACTTATCATATGTTTCATAATGAAGAGTTTTATTTACCATCACGGAATTCAGATTCGATTTACTTGTTTCTTCTTGACATCAGTGGGTTAAATCTTTGGTTAACTTGCTTTTTTTACACTACATTGCCAACCTTTAAATTATTGGTTTCTTACACCACTACATATATTAGTCCTATGTTTACGTTTTTCGTCACACCGCAACGCTTTACAACTGTATTTATCATAATCGTCATAAAAAGATTTGATCTTAATCTACTTTGCCATTTTACATCTTTATTTGTTTCCCGTAGCCATGTATTTTCTCTTTAATTACTTTCTTTTTTCAAAGTGCTCTACACTGTTAGGTTTTTGCTTGTATTCACCTTATTTATTTCCTGCATGTACGTATTTAGTTTTGAATTAATAATTTTCACAGTACGCTGTGGTGTTAGGTTTATATTTTTATTTTCCTTTATTTGTTTCCTGCATATACGTATTTAATCATGAGTTAATGTGTTTTTCACAGTGCACTGTAGTGTTAGGTTTATGTTTGTAATTGCCTTTATTTGTTTTCCTGTATGTATTAGGTCAACAAGAGATCAATGAAGCTTTTTTTTAGGTGAAAAAACCCGAACAACTTATATATCAAAACAAAACATCTATTAAATGAAATAGTCTCCATTCTTATCCTTGATGCTTTTCCATCTTACAATAGCCCCCAGTAGCACAGCGGTATGTCTGCGGACTTACAACGCTAAAAACCGGGTTTCGATACCCGTGGTGGGCAGAGCACAGATAGCCCATTGTGTAGCTTTGTGCTTAACTTCAAAACAAACAAACAAACCATCTTACAATCAGGTTGTTAATGGCCTGATTAAATAAATCACTTGACTTTGAAGCACAAAACATGTCGATGTCCTCTTTAACATCTTCCACATTTGCATACGTTTTCCCATTAAGATGGTGTTGCAGCGAACGAAAAAGGTGGTAATCTGATGGTGCCATACCTGGAGAATATGGTGGGTGGGGGAGAACTTCCCAACCCAACTCCATAATCTTGTGCTGCTTCAAACGTGCCACATGTGAACGTGGAGAAGAAGAACACCTTTCCGATTGACGAGTGAAGGGCGTTTCTGATGAAGGGCTTGATTTAAACATTCCAGTTGCTGACTAT